AGCTGGGTGTGACCCCAAAAAGAAAAAAAAATCATGGAGGTTAGAGGGATAGTATAGCAGGTAGGGTATTTGCCTTGCATATAGCCAACCTGAGTTCAATTCCTGGTAACGGATACAGTCCCTTGAAGCCCACCAGGAGTGATCCCTGAGTGCAGAACCAGAAATAACCCCTAAGTGTAGAACCAAAAGCCCTGAACACTGCTGGGTATGGCCCAAAATAAAATAAAGCCATAAAAAAGCCACACAGAATATATGCCATTGAAAATAAATAAATGTGTTTATTATTATTTAAGGCACTGAATTCATCTTTTTACTCCTTTTATGTTCAGAGTAGGTGATTATTTTGCCTATCATCTTTCCTCTGAAAATAAATTCATGTTCAATTTTTCATGCAAATAAAATTCTGGTAACCCTTTCAAAGGGTTACTTTCTTTGAAAGTGTTTTCCTAAAGTGTGATATAAAATTATAATGGAAAATTATACCAATATGTCTTCTTTCATTTATTAACATCTTTCTACCAAAGTCATTGCAACCACTTCATCTTTGTCATGAAATGATGATATACATGGACAGAATTGGCTTTCCCAGGTATCTCTTTGTTAGAGCAGAATATATAAAGTTGACAGGTAGCTCTCAAAAAAAGAGGATTAAGTCAACCTCTGTCAAGTTGAATTATATTCGTGATAAAATAAAAATATGAGTTATATCCCATTTTAATGAACTCCAGTAGACTTGTAATTTTTCCTTTGCTTTTATTAAGCATTTCTATTGTGATAAAATTGCTATAAATCATATCCCTGGTCAGAGAAACTCGAGTTAAAACCCTGTTGATGGGTAACCACTATGAATAAATTGACAGATGCAAGAAAGTTTAAACACAAGAAGGAACAAGAGAAGTGTAAGGAGCACACCACCCTGAGCTCCAATTACTTCTCTATTCGTTAGCCTTAAATCATGTTTTAGGTTCTTTGTGGAAATCTGAAAATTTATGTCTTCTATATTTGGAGTTTTGGTTTGTCTTGTCTTGAATAACCAGTGCTCCAGAAAGGAAAAGAACTGAATAATTATCTTATATGTGTCCACTAAAATGTTGGCTTATAAGAACATATATATGTTGAAGATACAGAGATTGTACATCAGAATTTGCCTTGCACACAGCTGACTTAGGTTTTCTCTCTGGCATCTTTGATGATCATCTGACCAGGAAGTGAATTCATAAGGTGATCCCCGAGTGCAGAAGCCCTAAGTCCTGCCATGATCCCTGAGTGCACAGCCATGATTGCAGAGCCAGGAGTAAGCCCTGTGTACCACCATATGTATCCGGTGTTTCTAAAGAAAAGAACATATGTTTTAATGATACACTTTCACACATTTGCAAATGCACTATTATCACCACACCTACAATTAAAGTATTAATATCCTTCTACCAGTTGAGTGGTCCACCTCTACACTCTGAATCCTCTTCCTGTAACAATGCCTTTGGTAACCTTAGGTCTGTAATCAGAGTCGAAAGTCTTTTTGTATTTGTTTGGTTCTCTTGCCTTTCTTTCTTTATAACCTATATAGAATCAAGATCATTATCAAAATCATTTAATTTTCTCTTTAGGACTCATTTCACTTAGAAAGTTCCCCTCATTCATATTGTAACAAAAGGCAATCTTTCATCTTTAATAGGTGAGTACTATTGCATGACTTATATATACCACATCTTCTTTTTCTACTCTATAATTGGGAATTTTTGGTTGTTTCCAAATATTGACTATTTTAAATAGTGTTGCAATGAGCACAGGCAAGTGTATATCCTCTTGGATGAGTGCTTTGTATTCTTTAGATACATAAGTAGTAAGCAGAATTGCTGAATTATATCAATTTTTGATTTTTTTAAATCTTCATATTTTTCCAAGTGCTTGGTTTGTACCCTAATTACTATACTATCTCCCAGATTGGGCTGGAGTGGCCGGGCATTTGCCTCGCACGCAGCCAACCCAGCTGACCTGGGTTCGGTTCCTCTGCCTCTCTCGAAGAGTCCGGCAAGCTACTTTGCATGGCAAAGCCTGGCAAGCTCCCTATGACATATTCAATATGCCAAACACAGTAACAAGACTCACAATGGAGACATTACTGGACCTGCTCCAGCAAATTGATAAACAATGGGAGGACAGTGCTACAGTGCTCCCAGCTTAATAATAAACAATTTTTATAAACTATTAAATATCTGTAGGCTATGTTAGGGATCTGTTCAGTAAATCATTCTTTTTAAAAATTGTTGATTTTTCTAGGTTCCTTATTAATCATGAATAATTAATTACATATTTATATATAATAATTAATTATTAATTATAAAATAATCATACACATGATGTGTGAATATTTTCTATTCACTTGAATGAATTTCTTGTAAATGCTAATTTCTTTTGCAGTGCAGAAGGTTTTTAGCTTTATGTGTTTTTTCCACATTTATTTTTGCTTTTGCTTCACTTTCCATTGGAGTCAAATCCCAAAAGACACAATAGAAGTCAATAATATGGAGTGTTTTGCCTACATATTGCCTATTTATTCAATGAGAATTTTATGGATTTTGTTCTTTAATCTATTTTGTGGAAACTGTTTCATTCATTTGAATGTGGATATCCAGCACATCCAACACTATTTATTTTAGAACTCTCCTTTCTCCACTTTATACTCTTGGATATTTTGTTATAAATTAACTGCCAATTCTATTTTTGGACTCTTATTTTTTTTTGGTTCTCTTATTTTACTTAGCATGACCCCTACAGTTTCACTCAGGCAAGATTTCATCTCTAATAGAGAAGTAGTACTGCGTTATGTATATATACCACATCTTTATTCACCAGTCACTGGAAATTTGGGGTGTTTCCAAATCATGGTTACAGTGCTAGAGTATGTTTTATATTTTAAATATATTTAAAATATATATTTTACTTATTACCAATCTGTTTGAATACTTTAGCTTTGAAATATGATGTCAGGGTCCATGATGCCTCCATTTTTTCATTTTTTGTTCAGTATTGTTTTGGCTATCTTAGGTTGTGCTTCCCTATAGATTTCAATAATGTTTCTTCTATTTTCTTGAAGAACACATTGGAGCAGTTTTTCTCCTTCTTTTTCTGAGTATTTGCTTTTGGAAACACACCCAGCAGGGCTTGTGACTACACTCAATTCTGTGTTCAAGGATTATTCCCAAATGTGCTTGGGTAACATGAAGTGCCAGGAACTGAATCTGGGCCTCCTGCATAAACTCAGTCCAATGAGCTATCTCTGAGATCCTAATTGTGCTGTTTTGAAAGGGACTATATTTGAATCAGTATATGATTTGGGGTAGAAGTTATTTTAACAATGCTATTTTTTTCAATACATAAGCATATAATGAAACCCATTGTAGTTACACACCACTTCCGCTTTGCTGATGACATTGTTTTAATAACACCAAACATTAGCCAAGCAGCACAAATGCTGGCCGACTTCAACCGTGAGTGTGGAAAGGTCGAACTACAGCTGAATCTTACGAAGACAATGTTTATGAGAAACAGCCTCGTTCCTGATGCTCCATTCGCTCTCAAGAGAACCATCTCCGAATGCAACAGCTATGTGTACCTAGGTTGAGAAGTCAACATGACAAATGACCTGGCACCCAAGCTGCGCAGGAGGAAGAGTGCGGCTTGGAACGCCTTCAAGAGCGTTGAAGAAATAGCTAAGAGGATGAAGAACCTCCGGCTCTGGGCACATCTCTTTGATTCCACTGTTCTTCCTGCATTAACATATGCCTCAGAGACCTGGGCCCTACACAAACAGGATGAGAACGCTATTCAGGTCTCCCAAAAAGGAATTGAAAGAGCTATGCTTGGAGTATCACATTTCACTCAAATGAGAGAAAGAATCTGGAGTTCCAACCTCCATCAATGATCAAGAATCAGGGACTCTGTCTCGTTTGCCAAGGTGTCAACAATCAGATGGGCTGGTCACGTAATGAGATTTAGAGACAACCGCTGGACTAGAGCCGTTACCGACTGGATTCCACTGGATGTCAAAAGACCGTGTGGCCACCCACCTACCAGATGGTCAGACTTCTTCATCAAGATCATGAACAATCGGTTTGAGGCTCTTCGTGTTCCTAGAACGAACAGTCGCCATTGGGCTACACTAGCACGTGACAGGGACAAATGGAGACATTACTGGCACCTGCTCGAGCAAATTGACAATTAACGGGAAGTTAAGTGATCAAGTGAAGCATATAGTATCTTGCCACTTCTTTTTGTCTTCCCCAATTTCTTTAGATTTCCCCAATTTCTTTCTTTTTGTCTTTCCCCAATTTCTTTATATTTTTAAGTTACTTATATTGAAGTAATATTGATTTACAAAGAGTACCGTTGTCATTTTTTTAATGTACAAAGTTTATACCTCTTCTCTTAAATTTATACCCAAGTATTTAATTATTTTCTGTGTGACTATAATAGTATTGTTTTGACTTTTTCTTCTTCTATTTTATTGCTTGCCTCTAGAGACAACATTGCTTAATCTTGGTAAAAGTTTTCTAGAAAGATTAAACCCTTAAAAAAATCCTTACTTCTTTTAAAGCAAGAAACATATTTTATAACAGCACATGAACAGACAAACAATTATAGAACTATAGAGTACTATCTATAACAAACAAGTCACTGGGAGTTTAGAGCATATGTTACTACATGAGTATCCTTTGCTCTTTAGAATGCTTGTTTATGATGGAATGTTTATTCAGAATGATTGCTTCTTTGATATCCAAGTCTATATTTTAAATTTCCTATGTAGGTTTTAGATTTTCATGTATTCAAGGAAAATTTAAGCCACAGAGTCAACATTCAATATTTTCATACTTATGTACCTACACAAAAACAAACAATTGAATGTTTTCATATACACACAAAAAAAAAACATATATACAATTCCCCACAGAGTTATGGTTTGGTTCTTAAGAATTGACTCTTTTAAAAAAAATTTTAACTAGAGGAGTGTGTAAACACCATACCTCATGATCACAAATTATGCAGTCGAGTTTCTCACATTTGGGGGAATTGCAGGGGTCAGAATAGCCACAATGCAATGGATACGCCTCACACTGGGAAAACTACTTTTGTGATCATGGTTTCTCTCCTGCCAGGTATGTATAGTAATAAACTCTTTGAGAGTATTAAATTTCATTGATATTATACAGCAAAAACAAAATAGTTAAGTAAAATGTTTTCTGCTGTTCCATTTAATAGATATCTAATGTAAAGAAATAAGTCCTACAAAAATAACATCGAAATATATACATGGGTTTCAACCTTATGCATTAACAGAACCTAATACTTAAAATAAAAAAACAACTTATATAACGAAGGAGAAACATGCATTAGCAAAGTTCCAATAATCAGGTTGTGTTATGCATATATGAATAACAAAAAACAATATTCAAAAAAGTTCTAAAAAGACAGCGTTCAAAATTGCTTTTATAATAAGACTAAAAAGTATGTGAAAATGTAAAATAATAAAGTATAAATAATGGTAGATCAATGGCTTTTAGGTAACATTAAAAATATTTAAGATGAAAATGGTTATTATTTCAAATAGCCCAAAGATGATGTTTACTTTTTCTATATCTAGACTCTTACTAGCCTAAATACTGCTTAGAATAATTTTGCTTAAATAATTTGATAGAAATGTTATTTGCTTAACATGAAATCGTGCAATATGAGCATTTGGCTTAAGAGATCTTTAAATGGCAAGTTTATGTCTATAAAACTTTTAAATGATACTATACTAAGTAATATAAAATAGCTAAAAGTGATGAACAGTGTTATAACTGTCCCTTTCAATACTTAATAACCAACATTATCATTAATGAGTGTCAAAAATAAAATGGTGACACAGAAGAGATTACAAGGGTGTAATTTAGATCTGTCTTATTTTTACTAAGTTAACAAAAATGTTCCAAACTAAGAATTAGTACTTTTTTTAATTTCTAAATAATATGTCAATCAAATTCTACATGTTTAAGAAAAAGCATTCAGTGAAATCATAAAAACTGGACAGTTTTGAAAATATAAATTTACTATTTTAAAATAAGTCTCTTTTTTATAGGACATAATTAGACATAGTCCTTTGCATAGGCAAATAATCCTGACCTTTTATCCCTCATAAGACATTGTTGCAAAGCACTATAAAAGGAAAATAAGGGGAGTAATAACAAATATTTAAGTATGCTGTCTAACATATTTTTCTTTTTTATCATTATGTTCCAATATGTTATTATAAATGTCAGATGTATTTTCATTGGAGCATTATTTTGTGGAAGCAAATTGAAGATAGTTTAAAAACTAATCATAATAAAACTTAGCATAACTTTCCTAAATAATATTAAGTGTGTAGTAAAAAAGAATGAGTAGATAAAATCTATTAATCTAGGAAAATAGGGTGAATGCTACTTTTCACAAAGTAACCCATAGTCCATCATTTTTGCCAAGGTTATAGTTTAATTTTAAAATTGATGTAGGGTATGTTATTAATAGTGATAATTCTGAAGAGGAAAATCTGAGAAGTAGAAAAGAAACATTCAATTAACAAATTTTAGAAATTTCATCCTGGAAATACAGATAATTTCTATGTTTTGGAATAATCTTAATTTTCTAAATTATGGTGGGTAGGGCGTTTGCCTTGCACGAGGCCGACCTGGGTGGTTTGATTCCTCCATCCCTCTTGAGAGCCCGGCAAGCTACTGACAGTATCCCACACACATGGCAGAGCCTGGCAAGCTACTCCTGGCATATTCAATATGCCAAAAACAGTAACAACAAGTCTCACAATGGAGTCATTACTGGTGCCCACTTGAGCAAATTGGTGAACAATGAGAGGACAGTGCTACAGTTTTCTAATGATAATATTTACATTTATTATAGAAACTCTTGGAATTATAGGAGGGAAATATTGATAAAAATTCTGAAATCACCAATAATTCTATAACCAAAAGATTATCACAGTCAATCATTTGATTCCTTATATTATGTTATTTTCATGACTTACATCATTGTTTTAAATTCTCACAAGATCTCATGAGAACTACCTGGAATATTTGGCAACACACAGGTTGCCTATGCCCAACCCTGGTTTCTGGTGAAGTATGAGGAAGGGCTCAAGAATTTGTGTTCCTGCCTTCCCTCCCACTGAGACAATGAGTTGTGCCCCACGAGCAGCTCTCCAACAGGGTCATGGCCACAGAGGCACACGAACCTAATTCGGAACCCAGCAGCTTTTGGCAGAAATATGAATGGAATATGCATTAAGCTATTAGTGCCATCCTCCCCTCATCCCCTGGGAGGGAAAGGGTGCCTGTCTCTTCCTCTTTTTTCCCCCACCGGGAGGCACAGGGACTGCTGCCTCTGAGCTTGGAAAGCCAGGTATGAGCCGGTGTTGACCAGGCAGCTGCAGCCTCATGGGATGGGGGATGGAACCAACATATCCTTCCTGCCCCACTGAGACCACGAGTTGCCCCCCACGAGCGGCTCTCCAGCATGCCATGGACACAGACGCACACAAACCAATCTCGGAACTAAGCAGCTTTTGGCAGAAATCCGTCCAAACTTAATTAGTAAAATATCAGAAATCCAAAATTGTGCGGCTGCTACGGCAGCCACATGACATCACATGGCCTTCATAACCAGCAATAGAAAACAAATTATTTCACAGTGCCGTTTCAGCAGGTTTGATTGTTGGGGGAAAATTCCAAATAATAATGGTGCATCTTTTGTCTAAATAATGAATGTAATCAAAGTAGAGAGAGAGTTAAGTGGAAATCATCTGCCTCACAGGCATCAGGAGGGTCGGGAAAGGGGGTATATTGGGGTTTTGGGTGGTAAAAAATGTGCACTGGTGAAGGGATGGGTGTTTGATCATTGTATGACTGAGACTTAAACCTGAGAGCTTTGTAACTGTTCTCACGGTGATTCAATAAGTAAATTTAAAAAAATAATAATAAAATAAAAAAGAATTTGTGTTCCTAACATTCTGGTCAAAGTAGAGGGTATGGAAGGGTCACAGATGATCTAGTTAATTAAATCCGTCTCTTTCAAGTCTAACCTGTGTAAAAGTAGTCAGTAAAATATTGGAAATGGCTGGGGGTGGGAGGTGGGGAATAGTAAGCAATGAATAGAGATAAAGTAACATTTTTGACACTTCACTTAATGCCAAGAAGGATGGCAGAACAGCAGGACAGCAGAGGTTCTCATCAACCTGGTGTCAGAAAGCTGTTGAGCTACATACAGCCTTAGAGGAGTCCAGTGACAAATCACAGAGCAGCAGGCCCTGGCAAGAGAATTCAGGTTACAGGATTCTAGTTGCAGCCTCCGGAAGATGTACTTTAGACAGAGGATTGCAAAAGAAGGGAGGTAGATGGTGTCAGGGCAAGAGAAAACATCATAAACTGAACCAATTATTAAGGGACGGGATAAGTGGCATTGTTCACCAGTAAGGAGAGTGACCCAGACATTGGGGAGGAACTTCGAACCCCCCACTGAAACTAATACTATAAACTAACATTATAAGCACCAGGAGTTTTTTTTTTAAATAAATCTTTTATATAATAGTCAACAACTGGGGCTGGAGCGATAGCGTTTGCCTTGCACGTGGCTGACCCAGGTTTGATTCCCAGCATCCCATATGGTCCCCACCAGAAGTAATTCCCAAGTACGTGAGCCAGGAGTAACCCCTGTGCCTCACCGGGTGTGACCCAAAAAGCAATAATAATAATAATAATAATAACTCTCAAAAACTGACTCAGAAATAAGCCCATTTTCGTGCTAACATAAGGAAGATCCTAGATTGTGTTTATCTTATTACTCGAGGCAGTATATTTTTAGATCCACTGTTTGAGATATCAAGAGCTTTCAATGCTTAACACCATATTTTAGTGCTGTTCCATTAACATTACAGTATAACTATTTCCTATTACATTACAGTTTTGGGAAAATGGTATATTGCTCAATATTCTCTCATTATTATTAAATTGCAATGTAATCTTTTGATTTATAAATATATATATGTATTTTATCACAAATAATTCTTTTTGTGTTATACGGGGGTTATATAGCATCCAGATATGCTCAGGACTTATTCCTGGCTCTATCCTTAGGAGTCACTCCTGATACTGCTCAGAAATCATTTGTGGTGCCAAGAAACAATTCAGGGTTCATCACATGTAAGGCATGCACAATATTCCTTGTAATAGTTTTCCAGCCCCTCACAAACACTTAACTAAGAGGTTTCATAACAAAATCTCCAGTTCCTTTGGAAAATTTAGAGCAGTTAAGTACCAAACCATAGATTGTGAAGACTTTGGGCTCTTGTTTTTTATTTTTTATTTTTTTTCTTTTTGGGTCACACCCAGAAATGGTCAGGGGTTACTCCTGGCTCTGCACTCAGGAATTACTCCTGGCGGTGCTTGGGGGACCATATGGGATGCCAGGGATCAAACCTGGGTTGGCCACTTGCAAGGCAAATGCCCTACCCACTGTACTATTGCTCCAGCCCCGGCTTGGGCTCTTGTATTGCCAAACTGTTTACCAGAAAGCTTGTACCAAATAATAACAGCAGTGACAGCAGTGTAAGAGAATATCTATGACACAACCTATATTCATGCTAGCAAATTCATAGTTCGTAATTCAACCAAATGTGACATTTTCACTTGAAATTAATCTTATTCATTTTAACTAGAGAAACCAAAGGTGTAAATGCTACTCAATTTATGAATACTGTTTATCAGGTCTATAGGTCAGAAATGTTCAGTATTAGCTGTACCAGACACCGAATTTATAGTTATTTTAAGCCACTGTTACAGAGGGCAAAAATCTTTATTTTGGACAAGTTGGAATGTACATGAAAAGGAACTAAAGAAATGCTTTAAACAACAAAAAAGTGTGTCTGGAGAAATAGTACAAAGGGTAAAGTAATTGCCTTGCATGTAACTGATCTGGGTTCCATTCACAACAACCAAAATGACCCCAAGAGGTTCTCCAGAAGTGATGTCCAAGCGCAGATCCAGGAATAAACCTTAAGTACAGTCAGATAAAATACCTCCTTACCCTCCCAAAAATAAACAGTTAAAAAACATTGACTTTTTTAAACTTGGTATCTAA